AACAAAGTTGGGGTTTTGATCTGTTTCAGTAATCCTTTTAATTTCTAGGCAAAGAAGGTGGAATTTCCAGCTTTGGGAGTTCAAGGCATGATGACCTTGGAACCAGGATTCCAGGCCAGAAGATGCTGCCAGCCCAGTAGAGCAGCCCTGGGAAGCCAGGGTACTAAGACACAAGCCCAGAGAGCTTTGGACTTGGAATTTGGTGGGACCACGCTACATAGGAACAGTTAGATTGTAAATCTATTTCTTCACTGGCTCAGAGACTGACAGGGCATAAGGGGGATTATATCTCCCAGGTATTAAGGGCAAGGATGTTGGTCTGTTTGTTACTGGATCTTTGAAGTAATATCCTTTGTGAATGCTAAGCTATGTAGTTAAATGGAACTAATACTGGGGACTCCTAAATTTAAGGGAACACAAAGGTGGGGACTTGAGCCAATGACAGAAACCAGAGATCCTGTAATCTCCTTAAGGGTACTGAAGAACCTTGAGAGATGGACAGAAATTATATTACCTGGTTCTTAGGCAATAGATGCCAGAGTAATCACTGTTACACAAATATAGAAGTATATATATGCCCATCATAAAGCTAGGAATTGTTCCACCCAGAAGCACTTCACTTAACTGTCTTTTTTGTAGGAATTGTATTGCTACACTAATAGCTAATGATTTCTAAGAAAAAAAAAACATTTTCTATCAGCACTTTTTCTCTTCCCTATCTTGATATTTAATATCTAATAAGATGGTAACCAGTCAGGAAATAACATTATGGACTAAAGGACAGCAGCAGAGCTCTTTAAAATGCTTTCTGATTGACTGTTAGAAGATATATCCCCTTTTGTAAGGAACTGGAGCAGACATGTGACTGGGTTTTGAATATAAAGTGGAATCCAAAAGTAAAACTCACTAGAAAACAGGGAGGAAAATTAGAGAAGATTTTATAGGCAAAGTCACTTCTGAAATTACTGATCTCTCTTGGAAAAACCACGGTTTGCTAGCATAACCTGTGTTTGCAATGCTATGGATACTAACCAGTTTGGTCTCCAATGGGGCCTCAGAATAGGAGTGTCTAGCTAAGCTGCTCCAGCAGGAAAAACCTGTCTAGCCAGTAATAGATAGTAGGGCAGGCCACAGCTTATTCCCTTCTCCCACTCAATGAGAGCTCTTTAAAGCTTAAAATTATGGGCCAATAACCTTTTATCAAGTGTGAATGGGGCAACAGCAGTGCTGCAGTGAGCTGCAGCCAGCCATGAGAAAAGACTGTGAGCCAGCCAAGTCATGTGACTTGTAAAGGGTTTGAAGAGCAGCGAAGGGCACAAATGCCATATTCTGGGGAAGGACAGAAGAAGGAAAGGAGAAAAACTTTAGAAAGTGACGTTGCAAGGTTCCACTCCTTTCTTTTGATAACTTTGTATGCAGATGGAAGGGATATGCAAGGGCTATCTCTCACTAATGGGATTCAGTTTTCACAAAGGCAGCATGGGGAAGGCCTGGCCTTTATGTGGGAATACCTACATCAATAAAATCAAAGATATCGAAGTATCCTAGCATTTAGTATGAAGGCTTGCTTGAAGCTTGTACTTAATAAATAGTTGTTGAATTTGAATTCATTCATTCATATAAAAATATGTACACATTCTTCTGGAGGTCTACTATCTTTATTTTATTGATCATGGCTTTTTCTCTTCAGAATGGAGGGTAAATCCCCTTTGATGAATTTATGGGAGGGTATGGACAAGAGGCACACGAGTAGAGGAGCAATGAAATCAGAACTATTTGAGTATTTGAGTAATGACTGACTGCTCTTGAAAATCTTTGACAAATGTGCAATAAATTACCAACCTCTCCAACATACCAATAAATTATGTCATTTTCAAGTTTATTCCCACATGATGGCCCTATATATGCTACCAAGATTTTGATCGGGTAGTAAATATGAATAGAAGGAACCTCAGAGGGAGAGAGATTACTGAGCAATGGAAGTAGAGGGAGAAACTGGAGGTGGCAAAGGGGAGTGAGGAGTATTCCCACTACCTCTCCTCTATCAGTAAGCACAGAAGGATGAGTAAAGGTGGGGCCAGTTTCTGAAAAGTGTGGCCAGGGAGGCTGCGTCATCAGGTGGGAGCCAGGTTTCAGCATCACTCAGATACCTAAACAGTGAAAGAGATGGGATTAGATCCTGAATCCTCAGACTCCAAATAGATTTTATGACTCAAGTCTACCAGATGCAAAATTATGTAAGTGACAAAGTCCAGTTTTGGTGTTCCCATCTCCCTAACTACCCAGGTCTCCTTCTTCAGTGTTATGACAACCTCTCAGCAGGAAAGAATGCTGATTAACTAACTAATCATCAGCAAAGGTTTAACTCCCTAGCCCTTTCAGCCTTAGTGTTTACATTTTAACAAAGGATTCAGGGAGACTCTAAGGCAGGAGCGGGGAACCTGTGGCCTCAAGGCCACATGTGGCCCTCTATGTCCACAAGTGCTACCCTTTGACTGAATCCAAACTTCAGTGAACAAATCCCCTTAATAAAAAGATTTTTCGATAAAACTTGGACTCATTCAAAAGGCAGCATCCAAGCACCCAGAAGGCCACATGTGACTTTGAGGTCGAAGGTTCCCCACCCCTGCTATAAGGCCTAAACAATAAAGCGAGGCCAAGCCCAGGCACGACTACAGAACAGATGATAAGATAACAGTGCCTTCCCCCTCGCAATTTATAGACTGAAGCACTCCCTTCCTATCCACAAAATCAAAATTTGCACGAAAATCCTCAATTCCCATTGTACAATAATAACTAGTCACTTAGGGAGAACGAAAAATAGCAAATGGATAGACCAAGTGCTACACTGATACCCCTAAGATATTTGAAAAGAGAAAGAAACAAAATAAAGGCCTTCAGATAGTTGGGTGCCTCTCTGGAGGTTTAGTGGAAATATTTAATGGAAAGATATGAATGAAAATCACAAAGAGAATGTTCAATTCCAAGATTACATTAGCAAAAGTAACCATGCTAGGGAAATCAGAGAACCACCAAAATCCCAAAATACCCAACTCCTATAAGAGGCCATAACAGTATCAATATTTCAAGGGAGCTTTAGTTGAAAGAAGAGGAAAACGAAGAGGCAGATTAAAAGCTTAAAGCTCTAAAGGGGGAATTCCAGGGATCAGCACATGTGTTGGAAAATTCTTTCTGGCAATGGCAACTTCCCAGAGTCCCTAAAATTACGCCAAACAAGCCTTCCCTACCCATCACAAACTGGGTCAAAAGAATAAAGCTCTAACTTTGGCAGACTGGATGTATTTTTTTTTTCATTTTTATAGGTATTATATACATACAAATACATACACATACATGAATATATATACATATGGATGTGCCTATAAATGTACATATTGACACACACATACATAAGTGTGTATCTCTAGATCTATGATTTTTGTTGGTGTAGGACAATGGTTTCTAAACTTTTTTTTGTACAATCACCCTTACAAGTAAAAAAAAAAAAATTGAGCATACATTCCTAATAGGTGCATATTTATTTATAAATTGCATATCTAATGGAGGACTGGCCAATGAAGGCCTGGTCCCTAGAGCATACATGGGTTTGCCTTTCCTAGTTGATTATACAGAAGATATTTAATATCCTCTGCCTGCTGTCAACATGCTACACAGAACTTTAGTGAACCCGCTTTCACGTATGAGTAATGGAGAGGATCTTCCCTCCACTTCAGAGCAGGAGCATGCATCCTCTGTAGTTTTCCTGTCAGTGTAGTGCACATGGACAGTAACATCTTTTAACTGGCTGCTAAGCTGGAATTGAGTGTGCATACAAAAGGTTTGAACAAACAATCTCTCATTTTCTTTCCTGGCAGCAAGAAAGATAAAAACTAATTTGGGCTAGAAGCAAGGGAAATACCTCATCCACCCAGTTAGTGTGACCATGATTATATGGCATCTTTATTTCTTCTGTCTCAGCCCTGTCTCTTCTTTCTTGATCTTGGGGGAATAAGCATCGGGAGATGAATGAGACTAGAGCATCTAAGAGAGCCAACATCCAAAGTCCTACTGACAACAGAAGTCCTGGAACTGGTGGCTGCGATGGCTGAATCTGGTGAGGATTTTGTCCTTTGTTGCTCAGTCATGTCTGACTCTTTCTGACCCTATTTGGGGTTTTCTTGGCAAAAATATTGGAGTGGTTTGCCCCTTCCTTGTCCAGCGAAGATCTACTATTTCTATTTCATAAGTTTGTTTCAGACACTCAGTATCCTAACTGACATTTGTAGTTACTATAATATTCCATCAATAGCTGTTCAGTTGTTTTCAGTCCAACTCTTCATGACCCCTTCCTGGGGTTTTCTTGGCAAAGTGGAGTGGTTTGCCATTTCCTTCTCCAGCTCATTTTACAGATGAGGAAACTGAGGCGAAGTGGTCGAACTCACTTACCCAGGGTCACACAGCTGGTAATTACTTAAGGGGAATTTTAATTCAGATCTTCCTGACTCCAGGCCTAGCGGGGTGAGCACACCTCAAAGCCACCGAGAGCAGTAATCCGCTTGACCCCAGGGGCCAGCTCAGCTGACCAAGAAGTTACTCATCCTTCATCCCCTGGAGGTGGACTGGGTGGCGACTCCGTAAAGGAAAAAGAGTCACCGAGGGCCAGAAAAGACCTCACGCTTGGGCTGAGGGAAGGGATTTTTATAAAAATCACTTGAAATTCGAGGGCCAGAAAAGACCCCACGCTTGGGCAAAGGGAAGGGATTTTTATAAAAATCACTTGAAATTCGAGTCCCCTTCCCCTAGGGAGCCCGTGCCTGCTGTGGTGGCCTGGATGTCTGGGCCTCACCTCTCCCAGAAGCGGCGGCGGTGCCGGAAGCATGACGCCCACGGCCCACGCGCCCACGGCCCACGCGCCCACGGCCCACGCGCCCACGGCCCACCCGCCCTCCGGCCCGCGCCCGGGCCGCTCCCCTCGCCCGCCCGCCTTCCGCCGCCCAGCCCGCGCAGCCATGTCCGACGGCCCCGAGTACGCGTCCTTCTTCGCCGTCATGGGCGCCTCGGCCGCCATGGTGTTCAGCGCCCTGGGGGCGGCCTACGGCACGGCCAAGAGCGGCATCGGCATCGCGGCCATGTCCGTCGTGCGGCCCAGGCTGATCATGAAGTCCGTCATCCCCGTGGTCATGGCGGGCATCGTCGCCATCTACGGGCTGGTGGTGGCCGTGTTCCTCGTCAGCTCCCAGACGGCCGGCATCAGCCTGTTCAGGAGCTTCCTGCAGCTGGGGGCCGGCCTGAGCGTGGGCCTGAGCGGGCTGGCCGCGGGCTTCGCCATCGGCGTCGTGGGGGACGCGGGGGTGCGGGGCACGGCGCAGCAGCCGCGGCTCTTCTTGGGCATGATCCTCATCCTCATCTTCTGCGAGGTGCTCGGCCTCTACGGCCTCATCGTGGCCCTCATCCTCTGCACCCGGTAGTCCCTCCCGGGGGGCTGGCCCGGCGCCCTCGCCCCGCAGCCGCAGAGTCCCAGCTGGCTGCGGGACCCTCGGCGGCCGGCCGGTGCGCGGCTGGCCTGTAAACGCCCCCTGCCTGGGCGACTCTCCTGCCCTCGTCCCACCGCACCGGACCGCTTGGCCCGGGCCCCTTTGCCGTTAGTGCTCCGTGTATAAAGATGAATTGGAATTGTTATGTTTCTCTTCACTGGATGTTTATTTATAAAGATTTGACGTGTCCATAACTTTTGCGGAGCAAGAATTTTCAATTTCCCATGCTGGATAGAAATCTCAAATATTGGTAGATTATTGCACTTGTGGGGTTAAATGTCAAGTGCTGAAAATTCCTTGGATGTGATCATTTGAAATTCAGGATTGCTTTAGTGCTCTGGTATTGGTAAGAACTGTATGGTCTGGGAACATAGTAAACATGTGATTCCAGTGGTGCTGTGTAGCAGGGGGCCAGGGCTCACAGTGATGTTTCCAAATAAAATTCTGACTGGGCAGGGGGTAAAAAAGCTAACTGATGTTCATTGGTTCAAAGATATAGAGGAACACACAGTTGTGGTCTTGTGAGTGCGGTATTAGAACCCACAATTCCGCAGGGTAGTAGTAGTAGCAGCCCTCTGAGGGCCCAATCTGTTAGTAGGAGATAAGGTTATTTAAGTGAGCCCACAGTTCGCACTATATATATATATATATACCTCTATTCATCAGTTCTTTCTCTAGATGCAGATAGTGTCTTCCTTCATATGTCCTTTGTAGTTAATTTGGGTATTTATAATAGTCAAAATAACTTAGTCACTCAAAGGTGTTCTTAAAACAATATTGCTGTTACTGCATACAACATTCTCGTGGTGTAGGGAGCACCAAGTATGGAAACTCCTACCAATACAGATCTCCAATTGCTCTGCAACTTTTTATACAAGGCAGTTGTCTGGGGGCAGTGAGGAATTAAATGAATTGCCCAGAATTACAAAGTCAGTATGTATCAGAGACAGGACTTGAACCCAGATCTTCCTTGCTCCAAGGCCAGCTTTCTAACCATTATATCAGTGCTTCAAACAAAAACATAAGAAAAGAAAATAAGTAAAAACAAATGAGCAAAATGAAACCTAAATTAAGAGATTTAAAATGAATGTGCATGTATCTGTAAGCTTCTATCATTTATTGATCAACCCCAATCCAAAAGATGTATTTATTAACTTGAACATAATAGTAAACATACCACCCTTGTTTTCATTATTCTTTCTAGAGCTGGGTTTCTTAAGCTTCTTTGTGTCATGGACTCCTTGGGCAGTATGGTGAAGCCTATACACCTCTTCTCAGAACAATGTTTTTAAATGCACAAAAAACTATTGTTCTAAGCCTGGGTTGACATAAGCCATTCCTCTGATAGTTCAGATTCAATATTAAAACAAAATGAGACATTCATAGGACATTCAATAGTGAACAAAAAGATTTGCTCAGCCATAGCAGAAGGATGGTGAACAAGGATAGGCACTGAGGATATCTCATTCTGATCTTTTGGAGTAAACTGGCTAGCCTGAGTTGACCATCTTGATTCACTAGCTATCAGAGTACACCTGGAGCTCCTTGTGTTATCCTTTAGTCACCAGAAAATAATGTCAATAGTCAGAGCCTTTAATCCCCCTGGGGCAGCTAGGTGACACAGTGAACAGAGTATAGGGCCTGGAGTCAGAAAGCCCTGAGTTCAAATCTGGCCTCAGACACTAGCTGTGTGACTCTAGGCAAGTCACTTCACCCTGTTTGCCTCAGTTTTCTCATTCGTAAACTGAGCTAAAGAAGGAAATGACAAACCACTCCAGTATCTTTGCCAAGAAAACCCCAAAAGGGGTCATGAAGAGTGGGATACAACTGAAAACAACTAAACAGTGATAACAAATTTAGTCCCCTAAAGTCATCCATGATTCAAGGAATATCTTTATAGCTTTAAAGGAAAAATTAGCCTAACTCACATGGGAGACTCAAGGAAAGAGGGAACAATGGTTAAAATATTGCTTCTACCATCATTACAAAGGAAATTAATTATTTTGAAATAGTTATCAGCATTTTTTTTAAAGTTCATGGACCCCAGTTTAAAAATCACTGTTTTGTACCTTTTCCTTTAGAAGTAAAATATGAATTTGTTGTTGTTATTGTTGTCTTTGATCACATAGTTGCAATTAGGATGTTCTTTGTTCTTTAGCTTCCATTTTTGTCATTCTGCATTATTTCATATAAATCTTTCCATATTTCTGGGGGTTTTTTGTATTCGTTATTATTTTGGTATAGTAGTCTTCCATTACATTCACATATCATAATGTATAATGTATTCAATTATTCTCCAATCATTGGACACCTGGTTTGTTTCCAGTTGTTTATTACTATTGCAAATTGTATTGCTAGAAATATTTGTGTTATGTGCAGTGCCTTGCCTATTAGTGCTTAATGAATGTTTGTTGAATTGAATTGAACTAAACTGATTGAATTGAACTGAGGAAGTATTTTGGAGCAAGACAGGCATTTTTTTTTTGCTGTCCCTAAAATCCCACTAGTATTGTCAACTGTAAAGCACTGTAGAAAAGTGAGCTGTTATTATTGTTACTACCTTAGCACCTTGCCAGGTTTGTTATTATGGCTAACAAGATTTCTAGACTCAGGAATTCTGGGGCAATGATTGGAACCAAAATGTCTAAGGCTGAACAGGAAGGAGGAAGAAGGCCTGATGCAGGCTAACAAGTAAAATAATAATTCACACTATTACTATTATCATTAATAATGATGTCCTGCCTTTTAGATGTGCTGTATTCATTTGGCCTTGCTTTATTTGTATTTCTTAATCACATCACTGAATTTGGTACACATCAGCCTATCATTAGGGAGCTAACCTGGAAAAGAACAGTGTTCAGGAAAGTATCTGGGGATGCTATTCTGGCTGTTTGGACTCTTTAAAACATTCTATTAGCACTCTAAGTGAGCCAGTAGGGAGTTGACTTTCATGCTGTGTCCAATGAGACTGTCCAAAGTGCAGCAGTGGCTGGAATGTTGGCAGCATTACAGAGGGAACAGAGGCCCAGTTTGCCTCTAGACCTGCTGGATGGGAATGGATGGGCAGACCTGACAGGTCTCCATAGCTAATCATTGATTCTGCCAAATCCACTTGGCATCTGTGGCAGTGGGGCTCATGGGCATAATTCTGGGGTTGCAATGCCAGGTGAGAGATAGAGTGACAAACTCAGCCAGTCAGCTGTGAAATAAGCTCCAAAGCAGATATTCCCTAACATGTTCAGAGAATTTTCCCAATTCTTCCTATCAGAGTAGGAGTTGATTGAATCCCTCCCAACTTATCCTTGATACTTCTGTCAGGTGAGAATATATATCTGATAAATTCATTAAAGTGAGGTAGGAACCAGCTACTAATTCCTACTAAGAACCAAGGAGTCAAATAGACCTAAATATCTCTATCAAATCAATCATAGGCTTTTTAGGCTAAGTATACAAAGTTGTCAATCAATTTAGAAGTCCTTGAAAGTCATTGGATAAAGTGAAATAACACTACACAAGAAGTCTTCTCAGGTTACTTGAGAGTTTTCACACTGTCTGGGGCGTCTATAAAACCAGAAATCGGGGCAGCTAGGTGGTACAGTATATACAGCTCCAGCATTGGAGTCAGGAGGACCTGAGTTCAAATCCAGCCTCAGACACTTGAAACTTACTAGCTGTGTGACCCTGGGCAAGTGACTTAACCCCAATTGCCTCACCAAAAAAAAGATAAAAACAGAAAACTAGTGTAGAATCAAAGATTCCAGAATCTGCAAGCATAGAGGAAAGGAATTAATTGGTGGGGAAGAAAAGAACTACGTCCCTGGCATCAGCAGCAGCCTCAGTCTTAGGCTTTGTCTTGGTTCTTCACCCCATTGGTGGAGGACCATGTAAGGTTTGAATAATTCTAAAGGATTTTGGAATTATCTTCCTGTACTATCAGGGAAAGACAGTGATCAACTCAACCTGTGAAATATATGTGAAATAACTTCTTTGTCAGACCTTTTTAAGGAAGCATCTGAAGAACAGCTGAAATCATATTTCGCATTAGGAGCCAAGGACAGATTAGACGAGATGAAGAAAAGCAGATTCAAGGAGCCCAGCAGAAAAATGGCACTATACTTAAGGGGAATATTTTGAAGGCTCCAATAAAAAAGGATTTCTAGTATCTGTGTTACCTCTCTTTGTCACATGTCCTCTAAGCCTGATCCCACTTTTCATTGGACTCTCTATATATAGTTGAAGAGTGTGTCATAGACTTTTGGGGGGGTAGGGGCAGGAAGGGAGAAGGAATGTTTTATGCCAACTATAAAAGTATAATAAATACCCATTTCTAAAACTTAATTGTCTGGTCAGTTAACGGGTATCAATTGATAATCATGGAGGAAATGCAACAGTGGGAACTCAAGAGCAATAGCATTAGGGAGAGATATCCCAGGACCCCTCAGACTTGTCCTGGTGGGGGAGGGAGGAGACATAATGTCTGCCTTTTGGAGACCTAAATTGCTACCCTGTGAATGGGAGTTAGGATAGTCCCCCAGAACATGTGCTTCATTTCAATAAGCAAATATGCATGCATGTATTCATTCATTCAATAAGTATTAATTACCTCTTGTGACCTTGAAGTCAACTTTTTCTCTTGTTCCTCCTTGAGTCCATATAAGATCAATTGCTAAGGCTTTTTAATTCTACTTCTACACTATCTCACATCTATGACCCCTAATTCTCATTTACTAACTCAATCAATCAATAAACTTTCTTTAGCTTTTTTTTCTTTTGGTGAGGCAATCAGGGTTAAGTGACTTGCCCAGAGTCACACGGCTGGTAAGTGTCAAGTGTCTGAGGCCAGATTTGAACTCAGGTCCTCCTGACTCCAAGACCAGAGCTCTATCCACTGTGCCACCTAGCTGCCCCACAATAAACATTTATTAAGTTCCTAC